TTCCATTAGTTGATTATATCAGCGTGATTATTATCAATCCTGATAAAATTTAACTGTGTTTATCTCGTTGTAAAAAAGATAATTAATGATTAATACGATTAAATGGGAGAACTTTTGGTTTTTGTTTTCATTTTTTGTGTTTTAATATTTGTAACAAATATTTAATAATAATTCACAATGATAAAAAGATGGATTTAATATTGATAGTTAATTATTTAATTAATTATTCAACAGTTTTTTTTAACGATGTGATATAATATAAAATTATTAACAAATGTAAGTTTTTTTCTTGGCTTTTATGATCGTTCTTTTTTTTGTGCAGTTGCATATGTATTTGAATTTAAGTAGTAAGAGTCAAGCTCTCTCATGTAAGGTCAGACATATTTAAGTAGTAAGAGTCAAGCTTCCATGTGAGCTCAGACATTAATATTTTTAATTGAAAAAATATATAGACATAGATATAGATCAAATAATTTATATTATCTATAAACAAGATTTATTATAAATTTTTTTGTTTTTCTTTATTGAGTCAAATTTGTGAATTTCTAATTTCTTTACGTTTTTCTCATTTCCTTGAAATAATCGATAAGAAAATTAAATAATATATATATATATATATATATTTTTTAATAGATCACACATTTAAAGGAAAGTATCGAATGATCGTTAAAGTTGAACACATTCTGACGCTCGTTATTAATCCGATAAAAGAACAAATTCAATAATTTCACGTCGATATTATAGAATCTGGTACGTAATCGATAGTAAAACGAGTTTTAACGAGTCTTGCAATTAAATTACAGCGTTAAAATGAAAAGTAAAAAAAAAAAAAAATAAAAAATTACGATAATAATAATAATAATAATAATAATAATAATAATAATAATAAAAGATAAAAATGAAGAATAGTAAGAGAAAGAGTTGGCTGACGAAGATCCTTTACCACGAAATATTCTCGCAAAAGGGAAAGAGAATTCGGAGTTTTAAAAAGAAGAGAAAACCTTTCTTGTACATCGAAACGCTTAATTAAGCAACGAGAGAACATTGTGTGGCAAGTGTATATATATATATATATGTGTCCCCACGTGTATCCGTATGTGTGTGTGTGTGTGTGTCTTTCTTTCCCCACTTTCCCGTTCATTCTCTCTTGGTGCTTGTCGTCGTTTCGCTACGATAAAACGTATCATCGCCGTATAAGTGTAGTTTTTACGGTCTTTTACCGTTCCAACGTCGGAAGATATGGAAATTACACGGTTAAGAGAGAGAGACAGAGAGAGGGGATGGGGAAGAGAAAGAGAGAGAGAGAGAGAGAGATAAAGCTTGTTTACGAGAAGATGAGCTCTCGCGCAGCGGTGGTTTAATGCGTGTTTAATTTGTCCCATTTTGAGGGCCCTGCGTCGCATAATTAATTTCAATTAATTATCTCGTCACTTGGGTCATCCCCTTTATCTCTCGTCTCGTCTCGTCTAGTCTAGTCTCGTCTATTTTCGTCTCGTTTCGTTTCGTTTAATTTTGAAATAGATACGCGCGAATAGATACTAACGACAAAAACAAAATATCAAATAATTTTCTCTCTCTTGCTATAGTTTTTCTTTTTTTTTTTTATTTATACGGTAACACATTTGTCTTTTTTGTTACTACGATAATAAGCAATCTTTATGTTCATATCGATATCATCGGTACAATCGTTATTACAACGTAGGTAATTGCGTGTACAGATTTTAATATAAATACATTTGTATTCCCTTTTCATTTTCCTATCTACAACCAACGAACACGAAGAGAATATATGAATTTATTATCCATTTTTCTTTTTTTTTTTTTTTTTTTTTCATTTTCATTTTTGCTCTCTTTACAATCATTTCACAGCGAAAGAGAGAGAGAGAAAGAGATATAATCGATTGGAAAAACGAGCGATTAATAATAATTTTCACTTTCGTGGAAACGTGTTTTTTTTTTTTTTTTTTTTTAAAAAAAAAAAAAAAAAGAAAAAAAAAAAAAAAAACATTCTCGATACAAGGCAATGGCATGTCAATAATCTTATTGATTTTACTCAATCCTGATATCGGACAACATTGCCATACAAGAAACGTGTTTTTTTTTTTTTTAAATTCCACCTTAGTCTCGATTATCCGTTGAACCTCGATTCATTCGCGTCGTTTAATTCCCCAGGTCACTCTTGTTAATCAAGATCCTACTGTATACTATGATACATAGTATATAATAAATGCTGTATATAATACGTTTAAAAAAAAAAAAAAAGAAAAATATNTTTTTTTTTTTTTTTTTTTATTACAAAAAAAAAGAAAGAGAGAAAAAGAGAAAAATAATTGATCGATACTTGTTGTTGATTTGAAATCGAGTAGTCGCACTTTTTGCTCTTTTGAATGAGCTATTTGAGTGTACAGCATGGGGAAAAAAGAGAGCGAGAGAGAGAAAGAGAACAAAAAAACAGAATACGTGATGAAGCCAGAAACGAAATTGGGACACGCGTTAATATGTAATTATCAGTTGAAATGATCGTCGTCGTCGTTATCGTCGTTTTCGTCGTCGTTGTCGTCACGGATTTCGACCACGAGAAGAGAGACGGCGAGGGGAACGGGAGGGGTGAAAAGGGAGGTGGGTGATTGGTTGGGAACAAATTCGGCCAATATCGAGTCGATAAAAAATTCAACTCTCTTCTAAATTCGCGGCCTGCGGGATTGGAGTAACCGACGACGAGTAATCCGAAAATGAGAGGCCTATCTATCCACGTACGCACATACACACACACACAAACAACATTTACATACATTTACGCACATATATTATTTATATATACGTTTATATATACCATTCTGTTTGTATGCGTGTGTATGAGTGTGTGTCTTTATGCGAATGGTTAACATCTATGAGTATAAACGTATGTGCGTGCGTGCGTACGTGTGTGTGTGTGTGTGTGTGATAGTCTTATACGTGAAACGATAGATTTTTTTCAATTTCTTATATCTATTTCGTTTCTTCACTGTTTTTCTTTTTTATCTTGTTTTTGCAATAGCTATTGCAAAAGATATTCTCGGATCTGAAAAAAATACGAAAAATGAAATATAAAAAAAAAGGATAGAAACATGCCAGCACGATTTTATAACTTTTTGATGGAAAAAAAAAAAGAAAAAAAAAAAAGAAAGGTATTTTTCAATTCCGTTTGAAGTTTTCGCTCAAATCACGCGCGTTTGCAAGTTTTTCGTATGAGTTTTGAAGGGTGTGCGAATACGCGGTAGTGTATGGGGTTAGAATTTTTGTTTGTTTGATTTTCTTGGGTTTCTTTTCTTTTTTTTTTTTTTCCTTTTTAATTTAACTCGAGTAACAAATTGGTTGAATCTAATCTAACGGTATTTTATTTACTTTGTTAAAAGGTAGTATTTATACGACCTATCAAATTCGTAGATTGCATCGCGTTCTTTGAAAAAATTTGCGCTCACACTTGCCCCACGTTTATTTCATATCGTATAATATTTTATCTTTGAAATTACTTGTTTCTTTTTTTTTCTTTTATTTCGGATAAAGTAACGATCAGTCGAGGTGCTCAAAAATTCATTAAAATCATGTATTTTAAAATGATGCACAAAATAATTCTTTCTCTCTCTCTCTAATAAAGAACTGTTCTTTTCCTCTTTCTTCTTTTATTTTGTATTTTAGACAGATTGAAAATATTACTCACTCATTCAAGGGAGAAACGGAGATAATTTCATGGAATTATCAGAAAATTTCAGGTGTAAACCTATAGTTAACATTTTTCGAATACTTTTAATCTCGATTTCAAAAATATAAAAAGGGAAGAAATAAAAAGAAAGAAAAAATAAAAACAATAGAGAAACAAAAAAAAAAAGAAAAAAAAGAAATAAAATGGCCGAGTGATTGAAATTGAAAAAGTCTCCGAATATTTCTACGACTGATTGTAGATATACATACGTCCGGCAATGGTAAAATATGTAACGTTTGTAAAATCGTACGTTTCACGTTCATACGAATTCACAAGCGTGGAATTTAATTGATAATCTCGCGCGTGTCCGTTCTGTCGCACTGCAACTAAATTTAATGAAATTAAATGGGGGGTAATATTTCTAAATGGAAAAACGATTTCCCCTTTTCGAATATTTCTGAAAGTACATTTTTTTGTTTCTTTATCTCTCTTTCTCTTTCTATTTGTCCCTCTGCCCGTCTCTTGTCAGTTTATCCGCTTGATTGGTCATTGCACTTTTAAACAAAAATACAACCAATTTTTGCTCAAATCGTATTCATTTCGAAATTGTTATAATTACGTTTCGAATAAAAAATATAACAACGTTTCGTTTTACTTTGCTTTTCTTTTTTCTTTTATTTTAGTTAAATTATTTACTTAATCACAAATTAAATTAATCGAAATATTAAACACGTTTGATAGTTTTTTTTTTAACATTAGGTTTACAGAATTCGTCTTCGATATGACGTGTTCAGACTTCTTCGTGTGGAAAATGACAAAATTCATTACCATTATTTTCCAACAATTTTAGTTGACTTTTATTGATCGAACGATACGAATCTATATCAAAGACATCATTTCGCTTTCAAAAAAAAGCAAGCCCTTTAATTATAATATTTGATACGATGTGTATACAACAAAATATATATTTTTCTCTTTACTCGCGTCAATTTGACGGGTGTCTGTAAAAATATGTATACAAAAATATCCATAAATCTAACGTTAATTACAACGAATGCAAATCCTTAAATAATTTCATCGAAAAAATAAGTGGATTAGAACTCTTAAAAAAAGAAAAAAAAAAAAACAAAAACAAATTTAAAAGTCTTACACGAGGGTGGATTAAAAATTTATAAATATTTCTTCGTTTAAATAAATGATGAATTAGATAGAACACAAGTTTTTACGTAATACTCAAAACCGTTGAATCCACTCTCGTATACATATATATAAAAAAAAAAAAAAGAAAATTAATTAGAGAAAAAGATAGTATACAAACCTCGGCAGGAAAAGAATAATCGTCGACGCGATGCTCGGAACCATGATTATCGTCCAATCCGTAATGAATATAAATTTCTTCGAATTGATAATGATAAGCCAATGGGCCACCCGTTATATTGACTCTTACTTTGGCTTCTTTGTCTGTACGGAATACCAAAAACTGGCCGGTGTTGTGCAAGTGTCCAGAAACCTGAAAAGAATGAATCACCATTTACATGTATATTAATACTATATAGTAATATCCATATAAAATATAATCTTCGTATGTATATATACATCGGATATGTTTCTTTATACGTATGTGTATAGATTAAAGTTGTGGGAGTAGAAAATTGGTTGGGTCGCGTATCGAACGATAAATTAAGTCGATCGTACGGCTCGAAACGGTGGAAAATAGCGGTGTTTCAATAGATCAGGGTTGCCCGAACGAACGTTCACACGTATATACGTATCTATATACATATACGCTTACATAGGATTTATGTATGGATATATAAAGTATTCCATCGTGTGGTCGTATCTTTCTCTCCCCTAATGTCGGTTGGTCGTTCGACGATCGAGAAACGTGTTTTGAGGTGTAGAAGCAAGAAAGCCAGCGCAACCGTCCGTTCTTCGTGTCGGATAATTGATTAGGCATTTAATTGGACGGAATAGCAAAGGTGAAGAGAAATAGAGACAGACAGAGAGAGAGAGAGAGAGAGATAGATAGATGGAATACAGGATAGAACGTATATGTGTGAGCATGCGCATAAGTTTCGCGAAGAGAAAGCTCAAGAGGAGCTTGACGAAGTGCAAGTCGAGCCATGGCAAGTCCATTTTCTTGTACGTTACCTCCTCCCCCCTCCTACCACCCGCCCGCCCTCCTATTCCCACCTCTTCCTCTTCCTACTACCGAGCAAGGAGAGGACCTGAATTATGGCGTCATCAGTTAGAAATAATGAGCCTAGCTACAGGACCGAGGGAACGCGTCAGCGAAAGTCTAACCCAGATAACTTACGCTTATTTCAAAATTGATTTACTTGGTCCCCTTCTTCACCCCCCCCCACCCGCACCCCGTTCTCCTATTCCGCCCTCCGCATCTCGTCGTGTTTGTTATATCGTTGCTTTTCATTTTGTTTCAATTATCTGTTTCGAGATTGTTCATAAGGAATTTCTTTCTATTTTTTTTTATCATTTTTATATGGGAAGATTGAAGGATTGGATGATCGAAAGCGTGTTAATTTGTAGGTAAGAATCTATCTTTCTTTTTTAATTATATGGTGTTTTTTTAAACTCGCGAACAAATGATTTAGATATTATTTTATAATTTTTTGTATTACAAATTCAAGATTTTAAGATTTTTCTTTAGGAATAATTTGCTTTTTTTTCTTCTATTAGAAATCAATTTTCCTTTTTTTGATCAAATGATGAAGAGAGTAGCTTTAAATTAAAGTAATAAGTGTCGAGAAAGCATTTTCTCTCTTTCTTCCATTTTATATCTTTTCTTTATCCAAATGTCCGATTGATCGAGAAGCAATCATCATTTTCAACTTAGCTGATACATAAGTAAAAAAATCTCAAATTAGACAGACGACGACTGACGAGAACCTCCTTTTCCCTTTTTTTCTCTTTCTTTCTTTTTTTTTTTGGTTATCTAATCGACATGAAGAAAGTTCCAAAGTTGTAACTTTCAATTCGCCAATATCTCGATTTTAATTGATAAATAAAGGCATCGCGTTGTCCTATTTAGAATCTAATTTAATTTTTGAATAGAGAAAAGGAAGATATTTTCTTCTACTTTTCCATTTCGTTTGAAGGAGAAGAAAAAGAAAAAAGTAGAATCGATCGGGAACCGAAAAGCTGATTTCGAGTTATTCTTGAGTTGACAGAGAAAAATGAAGACGGCCATTGGCTTTACTTCTTTACCGAGAAGAAAGTACTCGTTTGAGGGGGGATAGCGGGGTGAGGGGGTAGCGGGGGAGGGTGCATAAGTCATTATTTCGCGATAGATTTTCACCGGCTGGTTGGGTGGTGGGTGGGGGGGGGTTACTTCGAGGAATAATTCTTAGACCTTCTTTTCAAATCCTAACCCCTTCCAAGTCACCCCCCCCCTTCTTACCCTTGTTCCTTCTTAACACCACCCCCATTCGCCACCCCAACTCACCTACATCTCTTCCAGTCTTTTCTTTTTTTTCTCTTTCTTTCTTTCTAGTTTTTTTATTGCATAACCATCGTGGACTTGGAAGGTGTGCGAATCAATGGGCGTAGAACCGCCCGGAGGAACAAAAATTCACCGGGTTCTTAAACGACTCGCGAGTCTAGACACCAACGAGAAGAACCTTCACAAAAGCTTCTTCTCTATCCTTATTTTTCGCAAAAGCTCTCAAAAGTCTTACTAAGATATAGTAAGACAGAGAAAAATAGGACAAGATAGAAAGAGTTAACGCGAGGATGATTCGGTCTATGGTGAAAAGGGATCATCCTACCCTGTCTTTCAGAAACGATGCTAACGTTTCTATGTGGTCGTACGAGGCCAAGGAGTCGTATGAAATTCTTTCAGTTGTCCCTAGACTATTTTTTTCTAGTTTTATTTTTATATGAATGAAATAAAAAAACAAATAAAACGAAACACGATTAAAATTTTTGGCGAATTTTGTTTAGGGATAATTTCGTTAAAATTTAATGTAATATTATTATATTGTTGTTGGTGGGATATTATAACGCGATTTGATAAACGAATATTATTTATTTGATAAAAGGTAAAACGTGTTTGTTTTATTTCGAAGGAAAATGTGAACAAATATTATATTCTATTGTTTTTCGAATTTCTCGACAATTTTCTTTAACGTTTAAAGTAAAATTTGTTAACGTTATATTGTAATAATATAATAATACGCGGCTAAGATTGAATTGTATTTTTATTGTTTTATTCAAATATTAAATTACACGAAAATGGGTTTAAAAATGTTATTAGAAATATAATTACAAAATCTACCGAAACTATGAGAAAGTAATTTACGAGAGAGAAAGAAAGAGAGAGAGAGAGAGAGAGAGAGAGAGAGAACGTTTATAATAATGATTTAATTAAAATATCACCTTCTCGTCTGTAATATGTGAAATCTCGAATGTTAAAAACTATGCGATTAAATTTTTCTAAATTGATTTTAATTTGATTATAATATCGTGCTAGAGATAATAATTTTCTCTTATGTTAAATCCTTTTAAAGACTACGCGGAAGATACGACCTATTTAAATCAGACTTACACGTTGATATGTACATATAAACGTGCACACATACACGTACCAAGTATCTGCAAGTAAGTATATTTTGTTAGGTGAACAGAAATTAGAACAGTGTCTTCTTGTGTGAAGTTAGAAAAGGATAAATCCAGTCTTCTACATTTTCGACTATATTCCCAGTTCGAGATTGTCTGTTAATTAATTGAATTTGTTAGAAGACGAACGGTTTCTATGTATTAAGGGAAGGAAACTATTATACTTACTGAATGTGCAGATGGTGAAAAATTTATTAGATATTTGAATTAATTTAATAAAGGATAACGAAAATATTCTCTCCTTGGTATAAGATTGTAAGAAAATCCTTCAATTACTTGGGTTTACGAACAGTCCAATAAAGATCTTAAAATATTTTATTTCATTATTTCATTTATTTATTCTACGTAAAAATAAACCTTAAGAAAATCGTTGGATTAATAGAATGAACCGAAAGATAATTGATTCAAGATTTTATAATTAGAAAAATTTGGTTATTTTAAATAGAATTGATTTTACTATTTCAGTCATTTATTTCATGTCAAAATAAATTAGATCGGCCGAACGATACGGTAATACGATTATGTGTGCTTGCGAAAATTTTAAATAATAAGACATTGAAATCAAATAATATGCATTCACATAAGCGTTACAGACCATAATCAATTTTTGATACAAAATATTTCAAAACAATATAAAAAAGTTAATCCAATCTTTAAATTTTAATTAAAATAATTAAAAACAAATAATCTTAGAGCACACGGATTGTTCGATAACAAACAAAAAATTATTAAAAATCATTTTTTCAAGCTAAATAACAATCCAAATTTTTGAACTTGTCCATACACACACACACACATAACATATATCCCTTCATATACATATAAAAATAATTTTGTGCTAAATAATGATTCAAAATTCCCAACTCGTTCATGTACGTATAATATATATCCCTTTCATAAGTTTACTATTTGCTAAAAGTTCATTCAACAGGAAATGGAATAATTACCTCGGTATAGTTTTAGGAATGAAATGAAAATCAAGATAAACAATATCTAAAATATACATATCTAGAAGATAAAGATAGGAATCGAGATAGTATAGGTAGGTGTTCATCGTGAATCGTCTTTCGTGCCGTCAGTGTTACGTTCCCATAGCCTCAAGGGAGCTCTTCGTTGGACGTCTAGTAACATTGATTGCACTTACAGGGGTCCATTATACTTGTCTAACTACTGGACCCCGTAAATTGTCCTCGTATAATACAACATACGTCTTCGATGTCTGTATAAATTTCGTTCTACAATTTCTTCCTCCCTTTCCACCCTTAACCCTATCTCTGTTTCTATCTTTCTCTCTCTCTCTCTCTTTCTCGCATCCCTTCTCTCGTTCTATCTTTTGCACGCGTAGAACATCCTAGAAACTCATCTAAGGCATTATACGTACGTGGAGATTACTTTGGAGTACAGACGAATGTATTGCTCGGAGCCATGAGTTCTAGCATAATGAGACATTCTATTTCGTAAACAATTGCTCGAAGAATGCATCAATGAAGAAGGAAGGAAACTACGAATTTATTCTACCGAAAAATGATCAACAATCATTTGAGATTTTTCGTAACCCGTTGTTTATTCTAACATTGGGGAGAAATAAGATTTTGATATTGTTAGTGTATTAAAACGAATATTTATTTTCTATTATCTTCATCCTTGAATAGTTTTGAAAAATAATTTAGGATTGGATTGTTATCAATGAGTGTTATATTTAAAAATATCTAGGAAATAGATTAAGTTATCAGATTTGAATTATTTTTGCATTGTAATACGAACGTTTTTAGAAGATCATTCTCGTGATTTATTAGAAGTATTGGCAGTATTGTGATTTAAAATGGTCATATGATTTATTTGTTTAAATATCGCGTGAAGATCTTTGGACATTTA